ATGAGTGTAATTCTGTGTATTTAAATGTTTGTCCTTAAGTGTTTGTGTATATGTCTGTTTGTGTGTCTGTGTATCCGCATGTGTATCTGTGTATCTGTATTTGTGTAAGTGTTTGTATCTATATGTTATATGGTGTGTATCTGCATGCTTGTCAGTGTGTGTTTGTATGACTGAGACACATTGAGGGGCGTGAGTGTGACACATGTAAGGGCTGAGGGGGGGAGATGTATGGAGGTGGCCCAAAGGCAATTTTCACATAGGGGCCCTGGGGTTTCTAGTTACTCCTCTGCTATTATTGCAATGCTATTCCATGTGAAGCACTGGATTGGCTGAGATCATCAGTCTTGATAATCTCAGCCATTGAGGCAGGATAGCAGCGAGGAGGCTAGTGCTAGGAGGGAGTAAAGGCAAATAAAAGTACTATTATCTTTGGATAGAGGGGCTCGTACCTAAACTGTTAACAGGGCACTATAGCATTAGGAATACACATTTGCATTCCTAACACTATAGTGTTCCTTTAAGAAAAAAAAAGTTATGAATAGTAAAAATGTTAATTTTATTGTCTACAAAAAAAATATTTTTTCTGAATGTGCCAAGCAATTTAAAATCTTCATGCTATGACGGCACTGAGTATCTGAACTAGATGTATGTGTTGTAGAAAGTGGTGGATTGAGAAGAACAATCATTTATTAGGTTTATTCACTAACAAGTTTTTTGACTAAAGTGAGAATTCAAAGTGAAGTTCAAATTTAAGATCAAGGTAGCCGAACGGGAAAAAAATGAAAAAGTCAGCTTTACCTTGAGTTCAGCTACTCTGGCCTTAAATTTGAAATTGACTTTGAATTCTCAGTTTCGTAAATAACCCTGTAACGAGAACATTCTGGGCAATTCGAAGCAAATTTCAAATTTAAAGGGCACTCCAGGCACCCAGACCACTTCTGCCCATTGCAGTGGTCTGGTGCCAACTCCCACTACCCTTAACCCTGCAAGTGAATTTATTGCAGTTTTTATAAACTGCAATATTTACCTTGCCAGGTTAAGTCCTCACACGAAAACTGTGCTATACGACGCTGGACGTCCTCACACTATGTGAGGACCTCCAGCGTTGCCGAAATCCCCATAGGAAAACATTGAAAGCATTATTCAATGCTTTCCTATGGGGAGGTCTCCCCCACCGTCGGCGACGCTTGAGCAATAGGTCTCCCCCGCCGCCTGACCCAGCGCAGAGGGACATCGGCGCTGGATACAGGTAAGTCACTGAAGGGGTTTTAACTCCTTCAGCAACTTGAGATGGGAGGTGGGAGGTGGGAGGGAGAGGGGACCTGCAGTGCCAAGTTTTCCTGGCACTGGAAAGTCCCTTTAAGGCCAAAGTGAAATAGTAGACCAACATCAGCAGATGACATGGCTCCCCAAATCAACACAGACTGTGGAAACTTCACACTGGACTTCAAGCATCTTGCAGTGTGTGCCTCTTCATTCTTCCTCCAGACTCTGGGTTCTTGGTTTCCAAATGAGATGCTAAAGTTGCTCTCATCAGAAAAGCGGACTTTGGACCACTGAGCAACAGACTAGGTCTGTTTTTCTTTAGCCTAGGTAAGACGCTTCTGACATTGTTTGTTGTTCAGGAGCGGCTTGACAAGAGGAATACGACATCTGAAGCCCATGTCCAGGATCTGTCTGTGTGTGGTGGTTCTTGATGCACTGACTCCAGCCTCAGTTCACTACTTGTGACAGTCCCCAACACTTTTGAATGGCCTTTTCCTGACAATCCTCTCCAGGCCGCGGTCATCCCTGCTACTTGTGCACCTTTTTCTTCCACACTTTTCTCTTCCACATAACTTTCTATTAACGTGCTTTGATACAGCACTTTGGGAACATCCAGCTTCCTTCGCAATTACCTTTTGAGGATTTCCCTCCTTATGGATGGTGTCAATGATGGTTTTCTGCACAACTGTCAGGTCAGCAGTCTTCCCCATGATTGTGATTCCTACTGAACCAGACTGAGAGACCATTTAAAGGCTCAGAAACCCTTTGCAGGTGTTATGGCTTACTTAGCTGATTAGAGTGGGACACTGTGAGCCTAGAATATTGCACCTTTTCACAATATTCTAATTTACTGAGATTGTGGATTTGGGGTTTTCATGAGCTGTAAGCCATAATCATCGCACTTATGACAAACCACGGCTTGAACTATCTTGCTTGGCATGTAATGCGTCTATCTCATATATTAGTTTTCCCTTTTACTTTGCATTACTGAAGTAAAAGAACTTTTGCACGATATTCTAATTTTTCACCAAAAGTATCACCTGTGTATATATAACTGAATAATTAAATATGGCTGAAAAAAATTAAATTAAATGCCAATGACACGTTTTACAACTCATAAGTAGATGTTATGGATTTTCAGTAAAAATAAAAAACACCAAAAAACAAGTGTGACATTTTGTGTTCTGCCAAATTATACTCTTGTAAATCCTCATAATAGGAATTGTTTAACATAAAGAAATGACCTTGAAACAAAGCTTTCAGAAAAAAATCTAAACATGAATTTAGCTTCAAATTAGTCAGACAGACAAAAGGAGCTTGATATTCATAAATAAAAAGCACTGAAACTGATTTACAATTCTACCTGTTAATGTGTTTTCCAAAGTTGTTTCTTATTTAAGGGCAATATAGGTCAAATGAACAAATGTTATGAATAGCAATTCTTTCACCATTACATAAAGTAGCTGGCTGCATAGTTGATAGAAATGTACTTTTATATTATTTTTATATTTTACCATATCAGTTGTAAAATGTTGGTACTATATAAATAATTGCGATTTCATTTGTAATGTACAGCACTGTAAAAAGTTCACATATCTTACTAATGATTACATTTGTTCAGATGTTTGCTTTTTTTTAAAACAAGGTGTTTTTTTTGTCAACTGTTTTATTGAGGCAAGGTTACACATTTAGGTTTCACGGAATGAGTTGAGATAAATTGCAAATGTGGAACATTTATAGTTGAAAGCATTCAACATTAGCATACCTCTTTTACTTTTTTTGTGTGTATATTAGTTGGGGTTGTGCGGTATGATTAGTGACTGTTATTCATGTTAGATGTAGGTAACTTGTAGTTGTGGGCTGCTAAATTAGCTGTAAAGGGCTAGTCTGACACCAGACCATCCTGTGTAGGTAGTGTGTCTTACTCTCGTGTAGGCAAGTTGGGCGTGACTATAAATGACACCTCTGTTGGCAAGCTAGGTACCTGTCATTTTCAACTGGTAGATGAATGACCCCTAACCAAGGGGGACATGGAGGGGGGGGGGGGGATAGCGAACCTTCTTGTGAGTCTGTGTACTATTGTGGCTGGTATGGACCATCTTGGGGCATAGACTGTGTGAGTAGAGGAGGTGTAGGTAGGCACAACAAAAATATAGTTAACAAAATACAGCAATAGACATAGTGGGTGGTTCAAGTCGCTGCACCCGGCTTCTTTCCCTCTCCAGGTGTGAATGGCTTAGTTCGGGCTGGATCCCAGGATTGGGTACTGGAGAAGGTATTAGGCTTGTCAGGATTTGGGCTTAGTACCTGTGACGAGAGCAATCTCGCCACATTGCACTGGAGAAGCCTGGTTGCTCGCCTGCTGCCTTTGGACTATGGCCACATGTTAAAAGACATCTTTTTCCCTGCAGAAAAGACTTATTTGTGCTTTTCTGCCTGGTGTTCGGTAGATTCAATCTACCGAACAACCGCACGAATGACTAGACCACCTGGAAGCTGGAGTGTGCCGGCAATTAGCCTCCCTGAAGCTGTGGTTAACCGCAGCTTAATTGACGAATGCTGGGTGGCCACCATTCGTATCACGAACACGAGGCCGCGGCCATTTTAAACACGCGAACGCACAGCGGTGTTCGACGCTTAATTCATGGAACTAAAATCGGACACAGTTTTACGCGAACACCGCTGAAGCCGCCGACCTCCCTTCTTGTTCAGTGAAAGTGAACGAACAGCCCGGTGTTCTGTAGTTTTACTTGAATATGTTATACCCCAAATAGGAATCCCATGGAGCCCATTCGCATGAGAACTGACTGTGTAAAGACTTTGGCTCCATGGCGATTACACTGTATTCGTGTGGTCTGAGCGCCATTCGCTTAATAATGAGCGCTCAGACCTGAGCTATCTGGGGATATGTTAAATGTATAGTTTTATTGTAACTTGTGTCATACTGTGTATTTTAACAGTAATTCCTGTTTTAGTATCCCCACGTGCATAATGGCGATTTGCCTTTGTCTTGGGAGATAATTAAATTACTTCTCAATTATCTCCAAGGCAGAGGGGAGGAAGCCAGGATGCATTGTGGGAATATAATGTGACTGTGTGTCCTATTTGTCTACTTGTCTGTCTTTTGTCACAGTCTCCCATTTAGTCCCCTACGGGAGTGTCCACCAGTTGGGAGACCTGCATAAATACTGGGCAGGTAGCCCTCATTAAACAGACCACTGCTTGACCCCCAACACGGAGCCTTGTCTCGTCTTTGGGGGGATTTACTGAATGCTTTTAGAGACTGACTGCTAGGAGTGTAAGCCGCTTGGATGCTTTTCCTATTCGTCTGCTAGCAGCGATTCGTATGGTTCCAGTTCGTGTGTTTGGAGTGCTATATTGTATGCCGTTCGGGAGTTTGGAGCATTCCCTTATTTGCGGTTCGGGAGTTTGGTGATCTACAGTAGCTGTGCCTGCATCTCGGAAAGGGGACGATCGCCTAAACGGTTTTAACCCCTTGTGTGCAAAACGGTCCGTTACAGTCCCAGTGTTTGAAGAAATGTTGCAGCATCCATTATGGGGATGAGTTTCAGCATTCTACCACCCTGTTGTAGCAGTAAGGGATCTAGGTGGAGTCTAGTGATATTCCACTCTCTTAATTGACCCATGATTGTGCCGAGGGACCTCAGCCATTGTAGGATATTTTAATGTTGCCATTGCCTCGGATTTTAATGTTGGTGCGTCTATTGCGGTCTTCAGTGATATCTACCCTCTGTGTCATTGAGGTATGAGTGTTGTAGGCTTTGCATTTGGTATTTTAGCACTTGTACCTCTCGTTTGAGATCCAGGACTTCTTCCTCTGTAGCTTGTGTGCATGCTTTCACCATCTGCACTTCGGTGCGGACTGTGTCCAGCTCCCTTAAGAGGTTTGCAATATCCTGTTTAGTAGCTGGGGCTAGTGGGTCTTGTTCTGCCATTTCCTCTAGGAGTGTCGTGAGGGAGATTGTGTCTCCAGATGCAGTTGAGTCTACTTGGGAGTCCATGCTGTTCACACCACTGTCTGACCTGGCCATCATCTTGGAGGCTCCTGGACGTTGCAGTATTGCCCCAATGTCATGGGAGTCTTTGCTGGAGCCAGGCTGTGGTTTCTGGGATCTACGTCCCATGGTGTCTATGTGCTGTGAAGGGCTGTCAGGCAGCCTAGGGGAGCTATAGAGCTCTGCAAACACAGTCTCAAGATTCTGTTTGGCCGCCTGTCTGACTGAATACTCTAGGGAGGCCCCAGATTTGCGGTGAGTCTTCTTGCCTGATTTCGGGTACAAGAAAGGCATGGTTATGTTGCTCACCCCATCCTGACTATGTTGAGTACAGGTAAGTGCTCCAATGGCTACGGGGTACCCCAGATTTTGTCAGATTTTTTGATTAGTGCCCGAAGCTATGGTTGAAGGCGTCCGTTCGGATCAGGTGCTAAGCTCCGCCCCTAAACAAGGTGTTTTAATACCATTTTCTATAAAACCTTTGAGAAGATAAGGCATTCTTTTTTTGATCTGTATCTGTTTCAAGCTAGTCATTAGTCTACAATAAACTATGGCTCTCAACCAAAGGATCATTGTCCTATAATAACATATAGTATTATTTGCTAACGTGACAATTAAAAGTTTCAAATTTATGGCAAGAGTAACTAAAATAAAAGCAAAGCTGACTTAGAGAATCTTTTCATTCCTGCTATTTTTTACCTTAAATTTGAAATTCACTTTGAATTCTCACTTTAGTAAATAACCTTGTCTATTAGTTTGCAATAAACTGCTGCTGGGAACTCTCATGTATTAAAACATTAAAAACAGATTAATGCTGAATGGAAGGGCAGCACCAGGTGAATCCAGACACTGTAGCTACTTCAATGAGATAGAGTAGTTACAGTGCGTGCAGTGTCCTTTTAGGTTAGTTCTGGAGATCTACAAACATCACCAATCATTGCTATCTAGGCTTGCAAAGGCTGTTCTTCTGACAAAGGCTACACCTCGAGATGTCCACTGGTGGTCTCTAAGTGAAGTGCACAGTTTTAAGGAAAGTATTTTATTATCGTGTATAAAACAGATTGAATTGCTTCACATTCTACAGCTCCTCTATGTGAAGTTAAAGGATCCCTTGTATAATCTATTTGCTGAACCATCAGCACAATAATGGATTAAATTTTTAAAGATTTAACAACTCACTAAATCACTCGGCTATATAACTTTGTACCCCATTAACACATCATCGAGACTGACTATCTCTATGGCCCGATTCCTTTAACATGAAATTTAAGGAAATTCTGCACTCTACTTCTGATGTACTCACTGATATCTCCTCTAATATTTTTTGTTTTAATTAACCGGAACAGAGACAGAATAAACATGATTCTGTCTCTTACTGAGGTGTAATTGCAACTGCAAACTCAATCCACACAACAATGTCTCCTCCAAGAGAAGATTCACTACCTGGAGAACTGTATTCAGAGATATAGCATCCATCTCTTTGGACTGCCCAGATAAGTCAAGAAAAAACAGTTACCATTTGTTCTCCAACACTGGCTTTCTACTGCTCTACACAGAAAAGCAAACAATTAGACATGTGCAATTCGTTTCGGTCCGAATGTGAATTCGGACGAATTTCGGGCAATTTGGACATTTGGGGACTTCCGAATGTCGGAATAGATGAATTGCAGAATTGTCGAAGTACTGAAGTTCCGAAATTACCGAATTTCTGAAGTTTCGAAGTTCCGAAGTTGCCGAAGTTCCCAGTGGAAGAATGAAGAATGTTACACTGTATACAATTTTAAATAAAAAGTATACAAACATAGCCAGGATTCAGCTGTAAGCATTTGCAACACTTACAACAATCAAGTAACATACATTCATATAAAATGTAAGTTACGTGGCCAGTCAATGTAATGACAGGAATGAATAAGTAGATAACTCCCTAATTCTCACGGTATTAGGGAGCTATCTACTAAAAGGCTGAAAGACCTAAATTGGTCTTTCAGCCAAATTTACTAATGCTAAGTAAAGATTACTTAGAAATAGTAAATTATGCCCCTACTCGCTATACCGCAAGTAGGGGCATGCCTATTAAACAGTGAGCAGCCTGTGGGGTGGGGGCCCTAAATACCAATTGGGGGGGACCTAATGTCCTCCCCCTGGCCCCCAGCCCTGAGCGGTGGGTGGAGGCCCTAAATTAGAATAAGTAGGGGACCTAATGTCCTCCCCCTGGCCCCCACCCCTGAGCGGTGGGTGGGGGCCCTAAATACTAATAAGGGGGGAACCTAATGTCCTCCCCCCTGACCCCACCCCTGAACGGTGAGTGGGGGCCCTAAAATAGAATAGGGGGGACCTAATGTCATCCCCCGTGGCCCCCACCCCTGAGCCCTAAATACTAATAAGGGGGGGACCTAATGGCCACAGGCTGCTCACTGTTTAATAGACATGCCCCTACTCACGGTATAGCGAGTAGGGGCAAAATTTACAAATACTAAGTAATTTTTACTTAGTATTAGTAAATTTGGCTGAAAGACCAATTTAGGTCTTTCAGCCTTTTGGTAGATAACTCCCTAATACCGTGGGAATTAGGGAGTTACCTACTAAGTGGCTACAAGAGAAGTCCTGAAGTGCCAAAGTCCCGAAATTCAAAAATGCTGAAGTTCAGAAATTCCGAAGTTCCGAAGTGTCAAAGTGCCGAAGTTGCTTCCGAATGTCAGATTAGATGAATTGCCAAATTGTCGAAGTTCCGAAGTGTCGAAGTGCTGAAGTGCCGAAGTTGCCGAAGTTCCGAAGTGTCTAAGTGCCGAATTGCCGAAGTCCCGAATTGCCGAAGTCCCGAATTTTGGAATGCCGAACCAAACCGAAAATTTTCCCGATGCACATGCCTACAAACAATCCTCCACTTTAAAATCCAAATCGATTTCACACCATATTTCATCTGCATATATTTCGGATATGTAGGAACCCCAACTCTCAAATCCCAGTACAACAAATGAGGTAATATAACGTATTACCGGTCCTTTGAGTGGCTGGGTTCAACGTAACAGAATAGTCAGCATGGTCAAGGGCAGGAGATATTAGAGAAAATGGAATAACAAGGTAATAGTCAAGAGTGCAGAGGTCCGAAAAAACCTGAAGTCAAGCCAAGGTGAAACGATGAAAATGAAAAGCATTAGTGGGATAACTAGAACCACTACAGGGCAACTAGGAGCATACAGATTGGTTTTAAATAGAATGGACTAATGTGAATTGGTTGGCATTATACAGTGTGCCAAAAGATTAAAGAATAGCAGAACACCGTTCCCGCATCACTAGTGATGTCTTTGGAGTGCATCCGCATTTGCATCATAAGGACGTGATCCCAGAAACATATAAGACATTGGCAGCACATGGTCTCAGAGGCGATGCCCGTATGGCGCAGATTAGCTTAAATCACACACTTTTCACACTAAAATACATCACGTAGTTATATTGGATCATACTCCAATCACTGGTGCTTTCTCACCAAGCTTTGTTTTTGGGATTCCTGCTGCTGGAGGTCTCATGGTCAAACTATATGGACGAAAAATGTTCAACACTTTGATAATCCAAAAGTTTGAAATGTGGAGCAGAGAAGGCTGACTTATTTCATTGTTTTTAGGTTTTGGAAGAAATTCAAATTTATATTCAATCCCTCTTGCACCTATTACTTAGTAACTAGGTATAAACAAAGTTTCACAAATGGATCACCCACTCTGATACCAAAAATGGTCTTGTAGATTAATTTAGTTAAGAATCTGTAGTTCTGAAATTAAAGATTAGGTTGGCACTTGGACAATAAATAAAAAAAGAGTCTTGCTTGCCATGCATAATTTGAACATTTTCCAGAGTTGATTGACGTCATTAGGAATATTAGGGCTGCAATAATTTTTAGAGCATTGGACCATTTATACTTTTTGCCTGAGGGATTAGGTACTTATACATAATCAGTGATTTGCTTAAAGCAGATACAACTAGAATCCTAAATAAATTAGTGTTCTACACAACATAGGAGTTTTAATTAAATGTTCTTCTAAAATAAAAAAAAAATATTTTCATACTGAAAAGTTTAAAACAGATTGAACTTTCCATTAAAGTTTATTTATAACGTTCCTTTTTTAACGTGACTTTTTGTTCTGTCACAGCAGAGAAACTCTACGGCAGCAGACATTTTGTCAAGGGTCATATAAGGAATTGTGTTTGTCTAATAAGCCTTGCTCAAACTCATGCAGGTTTCATAACAATATTTTTCAACAACTCTTAAAATAGAAATCATTTACAGTTCCCATACAAGTCGTTAGCACTTAGCTAGGGAATGAAAAAAAAAGAGCTTTTATAAAGCACGATATATCTCCTTGCAAATATCCATTTATTTTTTTCATGCAAACTCTACATGGCATTTACCTTTAGCAATGAAAGCTTTGATCCCAGTTTTTATTAATTCACCATCATGCAGACATGACCTAACAAGATGCTATTGTATCCTACACACTCCTAATGCTAACTGAATTATGTAATCTGGGCTAATAATTTGGTGCAATATGTTGAGTGCAAGCATATTGAAACATCTGTGGTTAAAAATGTGCAAAATGGGAATGCTTTAATTCCGCTTATTCTACTTGATGAATTATTTTTCCTAATTTAACTTACTGCATTTTGTGTTCCTTTTTTTTAGTGCCTCTGCCTAAGGAATTAAATTCAAATGAATTCAATGTACCAGCATATTTATTTTTGGAAATGCTGAAATGTTAAAACATGTTTAATCTAGAATCTGGTTCATTCCAATTTATTTTTATGAAATAGTTAAGTGATTAATGCTCCATATTTTAATTTCTATGGATTTCAATCCAGCAGTTTATACCTTTAAAGTGGTACTATAATGCCAGGAATTCAAAGCATTGGTGCTGGGTCGCCTCTCCACCTCCTCATACGTCACTCTATTAATAAACACACTATCATTACTAAATAATTCAAGTGATAGTGCTTTTATGTACATACTCACAATGCATGTCATATATCTTGGTCGTACTGTGGTTGTT